CCCCAAAACCCCAAAACCCCAAAACCCCAAAACCCCATGACGTAAAACTTATGTTGAATAACAGTCTTTATTATTGAAGATCTTAAAGCTAGACTTTCTTTAATTTCACCCCTGCCTCCCACCACATTATGGCTAATCCTCTAAGTTGGTAATGCTCTTTCTGTTGCTTCAGTAATTCTTCATTTCCCAATCCATCTAGTTTTAGCTTTTTCAAGCTCATCATCAATCCTGAGTCCTTAATAAATCCAAGAATTGAAAGAAAAACTGGATCCTCGTCTTCCCAAGTTCGTCTTAAGTTATTAGAGCAGTTTAAGAATTCAAGTATCTCAAGTTTGTGAGGTCTTTGGAGTTTGGATTCTTCAGTAATCTCTTCAATTGAGCAACCATTGAAAATCATGTGGTTTGTGTTGTCAAATAGAATAATCATCTTGGTAAAGTTCTTTTGAGAGAATTGAACATTCTATTATGGGTGGTGTCAAAAATTAAAATGAAAGAGATAAAGAATTATAAAGTCATACCTGAATTTTGCATATCGATATTATTTTTGAATAGATTTTGAGGCCAGGGTCAACAGCTAAGGTAAAAGCAGATTTATTCACAAAAAACCTGGGCTTAGTCCATTTTCTTTTTATTTCGTGCGGGCCATTTCTAATATTTACCTGAAGACCTTCATTTCTTCCATTAAAAAGGCAGCAAAAACTGAAAAAGATCTTGTATTGTGATGGAATTTTAAATTTTATTAACTTTTTCAAGGAATTTAATCCTGGCATCTAAAAAGTAAAGAAATCTAAATACCATTTTGATAGTCATTTCAGTTTTTCCATCATACGTAGAAGCTCTTATATATTTTCTATCGAATGCGGTAATCAAAGAACGAGCCACCTTGTCTTCAAGTTGGAGCACAGTAGTTTCACCCTTTTGAGGTTTCTGTTGAACCATAGTCTTCCTAGTCCTCATACTTTTATTTATTTCTATTTCATCGTACCCAAATGGGGTTTTGGGGTTTTGGGGTTTTGGGGTTTTGGGG